GTGTTTTCGTTGTGGAACATTGAGGTAATTCTTGTTACATCGTATACGCATATTCTTTAAGGTTCTTGAAGGAATTTTGTTAGTTTTCTGAACCTTAAAAAATTTACTGTTATGTTTCTGTAGCTATGAAATTATAATTTCGTTGTGTTTTGTTTGCATTATTGAGTTTCCATGGGTGATTGATTATACAGATACAGTGTAATTTGAATTTTATAAAATATCTAACTTCTGAAAAGATGTTGAGATTAGGGTAATGATAAGAAGTTTTTTGACTGATTCTTTTAATTTGATTGCATAAGGGAGATATAAATGGCATCTCTGTGGACTCTGAACAAGTTTTAATCTGTTGAAGGAATTAAGATTGAGTTTCAGTTTCCCACGTAGACTCTGCTAGGTTAGACATGCCTTTTTGTCGTTTTTTGTTTTTGCTACTTAAAACTACAAAAGCTCTTGTATTTGAATCCTGTACGGCCGTACAACTAATTTATAACTGCTGTCCTTGGTTCTCTATTTGAATTAAATGAACCTTAGTCTGCTTGAAAATGGTAATAATCATTCCTTCTTTCTTTCTTTTTTTAAGAGTTTACCATCTTTTTTGCCTTATCGTCTTTCTGTTTTTCTAATTCACAGTTTGTTTGATTCACTAATGAATATTTACTTTTCCTTTAAAGAATAACTATTTCTGTTCCTGGCCATGCCATACAAGAGTCAAAAAGGTTGAGTAGTCACCACAAACAAATCATTGTTTAGATAATGAATTGAAGTTCAGGTTTCCTTGATGAAGATGACTAGTGAGAGTAAATTTTTTGAAGTAACCTCCAATTCATAATGAGAACAAATGGCTTAGAAATTCATATTTTCTTTTTCAGAATATTGCTTTGAAATTTGTTGAAAGTCTGAGGGCCTCTTCATTATATCCGATAGGTGTTAATATTTGTTTTTTTTTTTTTGTTAATATTTTCCTGCTAGTGATTTATTGCTTGTGGAATATTATGTGATAGGAAACCAAACTGAAGATACTTCTTTAGAATGGTGGGGTCATATGTATGACTTTGTCACTGGAGGTTTTCTTGGAGCAGACTCTAGAAAGAAATTGCTCAAAACAGGTGAAGCTCAGAAATTGACTGAGAAAACTGTAGTTTTTAAAGATGACCAATCTGTGCAAACTTGCCCAAGTACATCATCTTCTTTTTAACTACATTTCTAGCAATCCTTTGGGAATTATACATGCATGTCAATGGGAATAATTTTCCATTAAAATATCATCAACATTCTGAAAATGAAACTGACAACATAAGTAGATTTTCAGTTGATAAATTTCTACTTGCTTCCTTTGGTTGTCAAATCTGTTTGAGAAGGGTGATTTCTCGACCTGAGTTGTTTGTGAATATACTTCAGTAAAAAGAGTAGAATAGAAAGAGGTACCCATGAGGTGATTTGTTCTCCAATTTCTCTCCAAAGAAAGCCACGCTTGCTTGAGATGAAAGGTATTTCTGTGTATGTTTATTTTCTCTTGTACACTATTAGCTATTTTTGTCAATTCTTCGAAGTCCAAATGAATTTTATTTCCTTTAAACATTGAATGAAACTGGGATTTATCTGCTGCTTTTTAAAAAATTTATGGCTTTCGATAAATGATCCCAGGATCCTTTTCTGGATGTCTAAAACAACATTGAATCCATCTGATCTGATCATGTGATCAACGAGCATGTATTGCATGGTTACTACAAATGAGTTGTTATTGAATTGGATCTGACATTTTCGGCCTTTACAGTGCTTGAAGGCATTGAAAATGCTTTCTGTGGGCAAGTGCCTGTAAGTGCATCTTCTACGAGTGGGTGAGGGCCTCTGTTTGGATTTTGATGTTTAAACAGCCTGTGCATGCGGCTGAAGCTGTATTACTACTATATTTTATGTCACTCGTTAATGCATTTTTTCCCTATAGATTTAAGCTTACATGATTTTAAAGAAATCAAGCGTTTTATCCATGTTTTCGTTCTCTGAAATCTGAAACCATCCCCGCCTTATACAATCTTTTCAGTCTGTTGTGTGATTATTTAGTGTGATTTCATAATGCCCTAAACTGATTTTTTTTTTTTCTTTAATCTGATAATGATTGGGTATACAAGAAGAGAGCTCTTCTCTCCTCTCCTCTCTTTCTTTAAATCCCTTCCCACCCTTAACTATTGAATCATCTCTTTGGAGAATGCTTCCACAATGAACCGAGTTTACTGTTGGGATATATTTTAGTTTTTGCACTGGGCTGGGTTGAATAATTAGTCCCAATGACTGCTCAGATTTTGTTGAACCAAAAATATGGACCCATTAATCACATATTATTTGGGCCTTAAGTTAAGTGATTGGGCCTAAAGGCGGAATAATATGCAGATTTTGGGCCAGGAATTTCGGGCCTACATCACAATCCACAGGCCCATTTTACCAGGCCGAATTTTTTGTATTGGGCTTGAGGCCCATTAAGATTTCTGGAGTGGCCTCGAGGGCGAATACTTTTTCAGTGGGCCATATTTGGGCTAGTGGGCTCATTAATTTTCAGATATTGGGCCCATTATATAATTGGGGGGGGCATTTTCTTAATTTAAATTTTGGACTTGTGGCCCATCATTTTTATATTAGGCCTTAAGGCCCACTAAGTTCCGTGTTAAGCCTATATAATTTAGATGTTCTGTCGAATGGTTATAGATTGTTGGGCCTCGTAACGTTGGGCCCCTGTTGGTAGCGAGCGTGAAGACCTTTCGAATTCCAGCTTTAAGTCGAATAAACCAGTTGGCACAAAGAAAATGCACAAACTATTTCTCGTGGCCTTAGCATGAAATAAAAATTAATTGGACCGTTGGCCCAATGAAATAGGCAACCGATAAAACCATTAGTTGGCCATTATTAATATTTTAAAATGCAGCCTGAGCCCTCTTTTTTCTACATTTCCGACTGGGCCTAGCATTATTTACTGTTTGGGATACCCAACCACAAAAAGATTCTTGAGGACAGTCGATATGCAGCATTCCTAGCTAGAAAATTACCATATTGAACGTAGTAGATTATGACAATCTGAATATGAAAACAGAAAATAATAAAAGCAGGCAGATTATGACCATCTAAATATGAAAATAAAATAAAATATAGCAAATTACGACCATAAAAAGCATAAAAAAACAATTTGCAAATTGAATCAACCCGTAAGAAAATGGGATGAGAGCAAGATGAGGGACGACAGAATAGGGGGGAGAGGGGGAAAAGGGCAAGAAGATAGGGTGCCATCGCACCACAGCGCGCCAGCACCGATAAATTATCTGTAACAACAAGAACAAGACGAAATGAGACTCAAACAACGTGGATCTAATTATCTGAAATAGTATTTAATATACTGGAACCACGTTGATTAATTTTATTCCCCAAAACTCTTGCTATGAGCACCCACTAATATTTTAAACATCTTCATTTTTCATTTTGGAATTTAACATTTAAGTTGTATACGTGTTCTTCTGCAGGCAAAAATAGTGAAGCTAAATTTTTTTATTGAGTTACCCCATGTGTTCTTTCAGTCATCAGTGATCATTAGACACTAGTCTATCATGCTTGTGTTCTTGTGTTCTCTAAGGCATGGTGTTGTTCTTAGTGCCTAACCACACTAAAATGTTCAACCATAAGAAGACAAAATGAAATACAAAAACGGCAGAAAGCTCAGAAGACTGAAGCATGATCAGCATATTTTTGATTCAGTTATAGGTCTGTACATGTTCAATTTCTAGATACAATTGACTCACACAATTTTCATTTCTAGGAACTTTCCTAAGCAATCATATCCATGGAAAAATAAAACTTCAATTTCCGCTCTTTGACCACTTTCAACCATTAATGCAAGTTCTTCTGCTAAATATCATTTATACTTTACCAAGCCTATTATACTTTTGGCTCGCAACATAGATTACCAAGCTTATTATGAATGTGGAAGTATTCAAAGATATTATCAATAATCTAATCCTTGCTAAGCTATAAGGATTTTGAGCAGATGGATAATTTTTGGGATACAGGGAACATACCTGCACGATGTCAGAAAAGAGCAACTGTTGGGAATTTGCAAAGTCCTGTATCTTTGAAGGAGCTAGAGATCATCACCTTGCATGCTTTTAAAGTACAAAAAATGAATGTCGGTAAGACTTCAAGAAAGTACCATATTTATAAGCCTGTCAGTAACATTTTTTGTTCCACATGAATGATGTATCAGTATTGAGAGAATAGCTACAGGCTATAGTCACTTTAAATCCACATTATCACAAACAAACATTTAACAGCGGAGTTCATTTTAAAGGCAAGATGGGTAGCGGAAAAAGTGAATGGTTGGAATTCCATTGTCACTTTAAACTTGTGTATTCTTTCTTTTTTGGGCCATCTTTAAATTTGTCTATTCAAACGGTATTAGATTGTGAAAATATATGTTAGGCACATAACAGCAACTTCAGCCACCAGACCTCTAGTATGAGGTGACCAAATTTTGAAGAGAGAAAATGAATTTGATACATAATATTTTACTCTCAAACTAGAAAATAGCCACCTACACTAGAACTAGAAATGCGAACTATGACAGTGGTAACTTTAAACAATAACAATGCGGAGGAGAATTTTTTTACACAGCATTTACAAGGAAAGAAGCCATCCATACCAGTCAAGCAGTGCTAAAATTGGCAAGTCCTGAAAGGTACAACTCATCTGATGAAGAAGAAACCTGTGTCGTACTTAAGGTTAGATTTAATCAAGCATCCAAATGAAAAAATATTTAAACCAGCAGTTGGATAGAACCAAGTAACCAGAGTCCAAGAGATGCATGGAACTACCTAAATCAAGATAACCGTTTGCAATAATAAGAATGCTCAGGACGTGATTTTTGGCTTGGGAATGGTAACATCATAATGAAGTTTGAAAGTTAGGGACGGAAGCACCTTCTCCATCATGATCATATATGAGCATCCGTCTTCACAAACAGCATCTCTAGCAATTGCAGATGCAGATCACCAGAGACTGCATATCCAAAAGAAAGATCTGCATGCAAAAAAAAAATCCATGAAACATCCGTCAATATTCCTTAATCTGACCCACCTGATGCTTGACTTCCTACCAACCTATATATCAAATTCGACAAACAATTACCATCTTTCAAAATTAAAGCCACACAAAACATAGAAAATTGTATATTTGCTGTCTGCAGATTTCTCATCAACCAACACACACACAAAAAAAAAGAAAAAAAAGAAGTAAATAAATAATCCTACACAAAAACAAATTATTATGAGATTTAATCAACAGCAAATAAACAAAACTGAATTGTTGCGCCTGACTGTGTGTGATTTAACAAACACAAAACCCTAAGATTATGTGTACTACGGAGAAATTTAGCCCGATTGGTTGTGAAATCTGTGATAAACCTATAAGGCTATAACAAATTCTAATAACAGCTATCATTCGCCAAAATCCAAACATAGAAATCGTACATTTCCATCAGCAGGTTTCTCATCAACCAACCAAATAGACAAACAAATACACAAAAACAAATTATCATGCGTCATTATGTGCGTTTTGGACAGAAAATACTAATTAGACAAAGCAGTAACTACTAGAAAATTTAGGCCGATTTGTTAGAAATTTGTGAAATAACTACAACAAATCCAAGCAATAATAATCATCTTTCAAAAGCAAAACCACGCAACTCATAGGAATCCAACATTTTCCGTCCGTAGGTTTCTCATCAACCAAACAGTACACAAAAAGTAATAGTTAGGTGCGATTATGTGCGATCTAGGGAAATTCAATCCATTAGCTTGCAAAATATGTGGTTAATTGTTGAAAATTGAAGAAAGTTGTCGTCACCAGAGGTAGATCTGAGATTTTCAGATCGGTAGAGTTGAACATCTTGAGGAAATTGAGAACAATGACGATTTGGATCCCGGCTCGAACCTTCAAGAAATATTTCGTTCCATAAGAGACAAACCAAATCACCTGATGATTCGATGAAGAGAACTAAGATTACCTCATGAGGAGGGAGGATATCGGCATGGCACAGTTGCTAATCGGCGGAGAACCTCATCGAGGGTTTACAGAGATCGGAGATTGCCTCAGCGTCGCAGAGACGCGGGAAGAGGAAGACACGAGGGATTTGAAAGTGATGATTAGGTGACAGCCTGGCTTATATTCAGACTAAAGGCCCAATAAATTCTTTTTAGCCCATGAAGTCCTTTCAATTTCCCAGACCCAAGTTTGAAAGCTTGACTTATATTCTACGAAGGCCCAATAAATTCTCTTTTGTTTGTTGCTGGTAGCCTGTTATCATTCTCGAATCTCGATTTACAGTGGCCTGCATGCTTCTTGGGGGCCCTTTTAAGTATACCGAAAATGAATAAGCCCACAAAGGGAGCTTTCGTAGAAATCAGAGTCCAATCCAATCCAATCATAGAGCCATCCATGATCCATGATCCATGATCCATGATCCATCTTATTGTTTCTTTCGAAGTCCATGGAAAAAAAACAAGCTGTAAAAACAGCGCCTGATTTCTTTCTTTCTTTTTTTTTTTTTTGAACTGGTTTACATTTTTTAGGAAGAGGGATTCGAACTCCAACCTTTAGGTTGAAGAGTGCATTTTACTACGAAACATATAGTCATTGGACTGCAAAACCCAGATGCAACAATGCATGATTTCTCATATTAAAAAAAAAAAAAGTAAAAAATGAAAAAGAAAGCTTGATTTCTTAATTGGATT